CCTCCTCGCAATACCAACCACAAATTAAACAACACCCACGGAGTCCTATGAAGGTCGGCGTGCATAGGAGCCATCCTGATGGTGTTGTTGCTGTTGCTATATTGTGGACCTACTAATGCCTTGAGATGCGGAAAGTCATAAGGCTTTCCCAATTTTCTATAGTGGGGAGAATTCGAGTCCCCCAAGGCCAACTTCGTGAAATGACGCCTGCCTTTCTCAGGTTGAGGTGCCTTTGAACTGCTGGCAGCAGTCTCACCCGCTGCTTCTTCTGGTGCTGGGTTTGCTGCCACATCAGATTTTCCTGCGACGCTCGTTATTTTCTTGCCGGCAGTTTCCAAGAGGCCAGCCACCGGCCCCATCCGTCTCGCACTCCCTTGCCTTTCCAGTTCATGTTTCTCAGCTGCTTCTCTAGCAGCTGCCTGAGCATCGTGTGGCTCGGCGCTTGTGGTCTCGGCATTGGTCACGGTACTCTCTTGATCACTACGTACAACGTCATAAACAAGATGGCCGCAGTTGCTGTCGGAGTCGTCATCCTCGTCATCTGCTGCTGCTTCTGGAGCTGCTGCCGCGGCACCGCCATATGCTTCATCCTCACAGCTCCTGCTGACGCGTTCCTCTACTGCGCTTGCTCCTGGTGATGTTTGACGCTCATCAATCCTCAGGTCTCCGGACGGACTGTCTTCATTGGAGTCCTGAGTGACGCACCAAAAAGCGCACGGTGGGAGTGGAGCACAGGGGTGAGACAGAAACTACACGCGGCACGAATCTGTTGGGTCTGATACATTTGAAGTGCAGATTTCCTACACCTACTTGCGAGCTGGATGAGATATCACCACCCAAGTCTGAATCTCCAGTCCTGCAACCATTTTTCGACAAGTGGTGTACTTGATGTCGAGCACCGAGAGCCACCAAAAGGAAGATGGCAGAGTAAACTAGCAGCTTTAGCGTTGTGGAATACCCGATCAATGGCAAGCCAGACCCTGAAATAGGCCGAGTAGCCTGAGGGAGTAAACCTGAGTCCCGATTATTTGTCGGGCTAGGGGACAACTCATAATGCACTGCTTCCCCCATGAGTGCCAATTAAGGAGCTCGAAGGAGTCAGAACCCTGCAGCGCGTGACCCCGTACTTGGAAAGGTAGCGAGCTTGCCCAAACGTTTCAAAGAGGATTTGATGTTTTAGAGGTGGGCTGCTTTCAAGGTGTTATAAGACAAGAATTACAGTACGGGCCTTGACTGCCCAAGCGGCTCCAAACGAGCACAAAATCGACGGGCATCTGGGGTGAGAGGGCCGCCCTAGTCTTACTGTAGGAATGCATTGCTGGCCAGATTACAGTGGCAGAAGAAATGTTTCATTGCGTCGCTGCCTAGCTACTTGCTACAGGCGGGAGTCGTGAACGGACAAGCGTCTCCTGCATCCGCGTGGGGTAGTCCCCAGTGGCGTGCTATGGCTGCTGCTTTTCCGAAAAACTCTGGCGCTGGTCACCCTTAATTACTCAACAGGTCTAAAATATTGTTCTGTAGTATTAGAAACGCTTTAAGGTCTCATAGTAGCTCGCCTGAGTGACCTATCACGACACATCCCTGCAGAGGAGTCATGGGCTCGCAGACTTGGGAGCGGTTTTGTACAGTAAGGCCTGTGCAGCGTAGCTCGGTACTATCTAAGGTGAAGCGCAGCACCTATATTCATCTACAGCGACTTATTCGAAGAGAAACGGCTGGAAACCGGTCGTTCTAACACTCT